TCGTTTGACACTCTTTATAGCATTTTCACGCCAGTGAATCTAATCTTTCAAACTTTGCTACTCTGAGTTTCTTTGGTGGATTTTTGACTCTACAAAGAATGTGATAAACATGGCTACACTCCAGTCAGCTCCCAGGGGATACGCGGGCTTCGTGAAGCCCTGGTTGGAGAGGCCTGGGCAGCGCACAGAAATGAGCCACTGCCTTGCCTTCTGAAGTTATAGTCTAACAAGGGCAAAAATTAGGCACACAAATCACTACAGACTTACAGAAAACAAGGACACTGTGGGGATCAAAGGAACAGAAATGCTGTCTACTGCAAATACACCAGGAAAGGCTTTGCTGTGAAATGCTTCACACAGTGTGTCCGGGAGAGTAACTTTGCCGCTTTTAGAGCAGTTGCCATCATTAGCTTTGCTGCCAGGAGTGAGGTATGTTCTGACAATCCTAGAAAAGCCATTTATGGTCTTCACCATCACACAAGGCATTATCTTTTGCTCATGTCAAAACCTGTGAAGAGTCTAAGATTTTGCCTCGTATTTCAGATAAGTTGGCCTGTCACAGTTTCACAGACACTGTCAGAAAACATTAACGTCCAGGCTCAGAGACAAAGGGCTCTCTTACACAGGCACGGCGGGCGGCCAGAGCCTCAGGTCCCCTCAGCCTCCCAGCTCCACAGGCCCAGCTCAGCAGACCCTGCACACCGTGGTCCTTGTGACATTGGGGGTCATCTGCGAGGGGACTGGAAGCAAATGTGTCCAACCTTTGACCACAGGGAGACACTGGTGTTATTATTCTGCTCAGGAAATAAATCTTCCTCATTCCCTGGATAGAGAATCTGTCTTTCTCTTTCCAAACTATTTGAAAAGAGAGTCTGGAAGAAAAGTCATCCAGAGGAGTATAGAAATGCTATAGAGAATTTCCCTGCAAACAGCACATTTACATAGTTCTGGAAATAATCATTACGGAGCAACTTAAGAAAGTATAGGATTTGATGTTCCAGACACATAGCCTAAAGAAGTTACCATTTAAAATAGTAATAAAAACAGATAAGAAAGGATGCTAATATATTTTAAAAAGAAAATTGCTGCAACTTACAAGTATTTTAAGAATCAATGCATTATTCTGAATTACGGATGAAGTGTTCTCTATTCATATTGATGAATGAATTAATCATGAAAATCTTTCCAATGACACATGATCCTAAAATAAATTTGTGTTTTGACTTTCTGCACACATAGGTATAGAAAGTCTCTTTGTATGTATCTACTCTAATGTATGCATTTGAATGATTTACGCATCCCAGGGAAGACGTAATTCCAAACCAACTTTAATCATTAGGTAAAATGATGAGTTTTAGAAATAAATAATCTAAGAAAATCCTTCCTTCAGTGCAGTGTTTACCAAAACAATCACAGACCAGATAAAGTTGCCATCCTGCAGCGATGCTGGGGAGCCCAGGCTGTGGGTCGGGGTTGGTGACCCCCCTAGGGCCCAGCACTGCTCCACCCACCCTGACATGGGCACACCCACCCCGTGTCCCACCCGAGCCACACACCATTCAAGGGGACTCCTTGCTAAGACCAAGACCCTCCACTTTGAGATTGTCTGTGTGTGCTTTAGGGTTTTTTTGAAAGCATGTTTTCTTTCATATCCTTAATCTTTCTCCTTGCCCTTTTTTCCTTGCCCTGTAAGATAGAAAACTGGTGTGCCTTCATTTAAAATTTGTACACTGAACTGGGAGCCAGAGAACTCTGATCTGAATACTGTTAGCAAGAGCCACTTGGGGGCTCATTGCAAGTCAGAAGGAGGTTTCGAAGCATGGTGCACTTATTCTTAGGGTAATAACCCAAATCGTGCAATGGTTATCCCGATGACATTGTCACCATTCTTAGGAATTCCCAACATTCCTCAGGTTTCAGAGCTTGGACTCCACTGGGTAGTGTATGAGCTATGTGATGACCTCCTCCACTCTGAAATACAATTGCCTGACATATTTTATGAGACATAACTTTAAGAAAAAATCTCACCTCTTCAACATACCCAGGATTCAAACATAAATGTCAGATTTCAAGAACTAAATGCCTACAGGGGCAAGTCAGGTGAAAGGACAGAAGACTTTACTTGTCACCCCCAGCAACGTCCTGCCGCACAAGCACGCACCTACCCGGAGTGGCTTGTTTTTAGAATTTTTTTGTGATGCCATAAAGCTGGATTTTAACCCAAATTTTCTTATTTTGAATGTTGGCCATTGCTCTAAAATAATCAAACAGTTTACTCACTAAGTAGAGAAGACCTCCAGTCTGCAGTACCTAACATTTAGCTCAATAACCAGAGTGGTTTCCCAAGCTGTCAAGGCACCGAGTCAGATGGGGATGGAAAAAAGGGGAGGACACCTAAGAAACCTCAGAGGAAGGAACTTCCACAGTCAGAAGTCTGATTGTGTCCTAGCGAGGGAGACTGGCAAGAATGAACTTTGACCCAGGGTCCTAGGGGCTGTGCCTGCATCCTTCCCACCAAGGGCCCCAGGACTCTCAAGCACCTTAAGGAGGAAGAGAGTATGTGTCAGAACATTAATAACAGCCCAAGGGCCCACGCTACCTAGCTAGGAAACTTCTACTCTTTCACCAAAATGTTAACTTGATGATAATAATTGCTTACAAAGGGAAGAGAACCAAAGGACGTGTGAGGTTGCCTGGCTTCATTAGTGGTAATAAAGAAAAAATAAATAAGGGAGTTTGGTTGGGATCAGCCTCCCTCAAAGACAGACGGAGTCTGTCAGGGTGGAGCTACATAGCCCATGAGGACACCACGTGCTCGAAGGAGACGAGGTCCCCACGGGAGTCTGAGGGAGACATAGGCATGAGCATGGTGGAGCTCTTCTGGGCTGGCAGGAGGGCGATGGATCCTGAAAACGTGGGGCAAAGGATCCACGGTCACTCAGACGATGACATCATTTAGGTCACCAGTGGATCTACTGTTCTGTGGTTCTAGCTACAGATCTAGCTACAGGTTTGCACAAAAAAAAGTGCATATTTTAGAAAAGAAGCTTCCTTGGTAAGGTTGTGATAGGGATGAGCGAGTTAGAACAATAGAGATCTGCCAGGTTCGAGCCCGATTATTAAAGCTGGTGCCCAAGGGATGCTAGTGCCCAGAAAGGTTCCTCAGCCATGGGAAGCTGTTTGATTTCCCCTTTTAAGTCATGCTTTCAGCTGGGGAGGACTCAGGGGAGAGCAAGCGGGATTGTACCGAAGCAGAACCATGCCAGGTTAGTGGGGGCACAAGGAAGTTTCACACACACTAGGTGAGCTACCAAACACCCTGCGACTGCAGCCAGTTTACTACCGAGCAGGATGTGGGGGTTTGGGTGCTTTGTCCAAGCGCAAGCACTTCGTTCAAGCACGGGTACAAACTGGCGTTGAGGCACAAGATGGAGTCAGGTTGGCTATCACAGTTGTGCTAAGGATGATATTAGATGTTTTATTAGATTTTGGATATATTTACAAGCTCAGCACAAACATTCAAAAGCTGATAAAGGCAAGTGAGGACACAGCTGTGGGATCTCTGGTGCAGGCAGGCTGCCATGTTGGGTTCTGCATTCCAGTCTGCTGCTGCAGCACCGTGTTCACAGAAGCCAAACATGTTCACCCCAGCGCCCAGTAATTCCACCCCTGGTTGTCCATACCAATGCTGTTCATACACAGACCCCAAAGGGCCCTGTGGAGCAATTGAAGCTTTTATCCTTGGGAAAGTTGGGGAGAAAATGTGGCAGATTCTCACCCTGGACATCACTGAGCAATTAGAAGCAACAGACTGCCTGGGTCCAGTTCTTCATGAAAAAAGTAAGAAGAGTTACAAAATCCCACACTATTTACATAAACTAGAAATATATGCACAAATCAATCCTATAAATGGTATAAGAATATAGTTAAACAAACAAAGTGTTCCCAGTAGCAAGGTGCAATGGTTGCCTCCCAGGAAGATGAAAGTAGGATGCAGAGGTGGAAAGGGAAGGGGATGAATCGGTGAGGGTGATGTCTCAGAGCTCTCAGTGATAAAGACAGTCAGCTGAGGCTCACCACTACCAGAATAAATAATAGCTGAAGTAGGAGAGAGATATTTCAGGACCAATGACCATGAGCAAAGACTAGAGTAGTATAGCAAATTCCATCCTCTGAACATAATTTATAAAGCAAAAGAAAGAAAAACAATAAAGGTATGAATTAGCAGAGTTTCTGGAGCATAATATGAATGGTTCTACAATTTAAGTAAAAAATGAAGAGGGAAAAGGAGGCTGAGAAAAGACAAGGATAAAGAAAACAATGTCTCAAAAGTAAATCAACATTCAAAACTATGTGGAACAATTCTAGATTTATTTCTGTGGTCTCAGCAAAGTGTTAGGCACTGTTGGAGAAGAAAAAGAAGTATAGGGCATATTCTTCATCTTTAAGAAACAAGCGACAAACTTGGAATGTGAGCAAAACTTCCTGAAATGCTGTCGGGAGCTGGCAAATGATGCTTTCCGTAATAACCGAAGTTGTAGCTCTGTGGGTCACCGGGTGGCCCTTCACACGTGGGTCTTCCGGGGGACATTCCGTCCTGCTTCCCCCCAGCCAGTTGTATGGAGCCCACCACAGTCAAGGTGGAGAAGAGGCAGAAGGAACCCGAGGAGGTACCTGCCTGGAGAAACAGACATCGGGTTTGGGGAGACTGGAAGGGAGGTCCCCACGGGCTGCAGCACGGCCCGGCTCTGAGGGTTGGAGCAGGAAGTGAGCCTGCTGGAAGACTGAGAAAAAACAAAGATTGAGCATGAAGTAAAGTTCACAGATAAGTTTCTCGATTATGCAAATGATTATGCGAACAAGAAACAGTCTTATTGTATCTTCCCAGAAAATAGAACAAAATGGAAATGTATTAAATTATAGAAGAAAGTGAACCGGTTTTTCAGTGTGGTTTATTTTTATATGCTGTTGCCATAATCGTCCATTATCTTCTGTTTCAGATCCACTGGCCCAGCTCAGCACTAAAAATAGAAGAATGCATAATGAAAGGGAAAGACGCAGTAAGTATTATTCATTGTGAATTCAACAGATCAATTATATTCTCGCTCAACCACAAAGGACTTTTATTTGTTATTAAAAAGCATATTTGCAGTTTAGTTCAAGAAGGAAAAATATAAATATATACATTTAATCAATATATAATTATATAAAATTAGCTTCGGTGTAGGCTTACCGGGAACTGAGTGCCATGAAGATCTGGGATTTTGTTTTGTTTTAATAATCTTGGATTTATAAATTCCTTAAGCTAAGGCTTATTTCCAGCATAACTGGGAAAAGTTACGGTACTATTTTTTAAATTTGAGACAAATCTAGACGCATCATGAGATTTACCTTCACTTTGATAGTAAAGTAGAAGTAAGTGAAGAAATAAATGGCGAGAGCACACAAAGTCAGAAGAGTGGCAGAGGCAAAGCACTGCCGTGCCCATCTGAGCTGTGCTGGGCTCTCTCCCTCTGGGTGGCAGTGCCCTTCCCCATGGCCTCTGCAAGGTGTGTGGGGTGTGGCTGGCACTGTGCCATCCCTGGTTTCCTGGGGGCAGCAGCCGGAGGACCTGCCAGGCCACGAGTGGTGATGTGCTGGTGACACAGCCCGAAGGAAGGCCTGTGGAGCCGCCTTTGAAAGTGAGCTTACCCTTGTCTACTAAGAAAAAGCCACTTAAATGATTAACACACATTACACCAAGTCGTGTTCCCCAGATCAGAGCTAGGCAATGAGTCAACACGTTCTCGTTGCCTAATTCCAGCCTGGTGCTGACTAATCCAGCGTGCCCTCAGGACCTGTCAGGCTAAGCTCAGCAGAGCCACAGTGTGGCCTCCCTGGGTCACTCGGATATGACAGTGTGTCATCACAGGCAAAGCAGGTGCCACCCAGTGTGAGGACAGAACCTCCACCAGGCCTGCACGATCAGACCCTCCCACTCCAAAGCCACACACACAGGCTACCAGAGTGCAAAGCTGAACACTCAGTTGCCCTGGGCCAGCGACTGAGCAGTGTGCTCCTTAACATGTCAAGGGATATAGCAAGCACGGGTCCCTTCCAGTGAGGTAGCGCCCTCGGGCTCACCTTCCTAACCCTGCTATGGGAGGGACTTTCAGCGCAGAGGTTGCAGTCTGTCCTATACATCATCATATGTGCTGAATATTGCACGTATTCACTTCAAAGCAATAATTGGCATTAAAAGAGTTTAGTATTTCATAATTCATGCCTTTAATTTTATCAGTGCATGTTTACAGTACACAGTGATTACATTCATCACGGGGAGTTGGTGCATGTAAAAAAGCAAAATAAAATATGAGGAAATCATGAGATAGATCTTGTGCAAACAGAAGTGGACCAAATGATGGAGGAAGGGAAGGGGAAGGTGACATATGAAGAGTTAAGGTGTGTCATAATTCATTCTAATGAAATAGCGATACCTAATTTGATAAGAAGATGTTTGCTAGAATTAATTTAGGCACAGTGATTTTGAAGCTATTGTAAATGCTTTCTTCCATTCAGAAAACCAATCATAAATGCACCTAGTGACTAGTGTTTTAAAGTTGTCAAATACATTGTGTATGTATTAGATACTGTACTTAATTACCCGGGCAGTGCAACAATGTGTAAAGTAAAGCTTCTGTCTTCAAGAAGCTTATGTTAAACACCAGTGTCAGGTCAGGGTGGGCTGTAGGCTATTGGAGGTAGAGTTTTATAGAACACAACCATTCAGGGAATCTTTCCTAGGGTCTCTGCTGCTTGCATGCAGCGGTTGCCACAGACACCAGATGGCTCACCAAACAAAATGACCTGTGGGCTGGAATTTCATAGCAATCATAATCTTGCAATAAAATGTTACTTATATTGGGTTTCTTCTAGTCACTTGAAAACTCTGAGATCGCTAAAGCCCTACAGCCTGCCTATGCTTCCTTATGAATAATAAAGCTATTCCTAGTTGTTGATTTTCTGTGCTGATTCACTGTTTACATTGTACTGAAAAACAACAGCATCGGGAATAACTTAATCTCACAGAGGAACATATTGCTATGCAAATCTGTGCTTGAATATGTTTCTGAGCAGGGCTTTGTTTATTCCTCTGTTGGGATCTTGAATACACAAGAAACGATTCCCTCCATTATAAAATGTAACTCACTGTGAACTGAAGTACACCTGAGAGTCACCGGCTCCTCTCCCCAGGCCTTGTCTGCCTCCCATCTGCCCCTCTTGCCCTCTCTACCCGAGGAGACGTGCGGTGAGACAGGGGATTTCCAGTATGAAGGAAACAAACACCGGAAAGGCTCCTCCTAACCATTGGAAGCGCCTAACCAAGGTATCACCCTGACCAGTGTCTTCCCTTCCCTCCCGCTCCAGAGCGAGTGTGCAAATTTCGTGCGTGTTTTGCACCACTACAACAGGACACACCTCCTGACGTGTGGTACCGGGGCCTTCGATCCACTGTGCACCTTCATCCGAGTCGGCTATCATGCGGAGGTAGGACAGCTTTGTTCACTGCTATCAATAAAGTGTCCCCAAAAATGACACAAGTATTTGGGATGTACTGGTGTTGTTTGCTTGAGACACAGAAATGATTTCTGGGCCTTTAAACCCTTGTCAGCTATAAATCTGTGCACCAATCAGTTCTCTGTGTGTTTATTTGGCAATTTTATTCACTTAATTTGTTCACTTAAAAATGTTTATATACGTGGGCCGGGGATTTACCTCAGTGGTTTCACCGCCCGCTGTGCAAGTGCAAGGACCAGAGTTCGATCCCCGGTACCAAAAAAAAAAGAAAAAGAAAAATGTTTATATACGTTAAACTGTTCTGTGCTATATTCCTTTATTTATTAATTTATCCACCAAACAAACTGAATCTATATGAAGAGAGAGAGAGAGATGATTATCATCTAATAGGTTTATTATCATCTAATAAAATACTGCATTGGTATTTTATGTTGGATAGACAGAGACTTTTGACTTAGTGATTTCTTTCTCCCAGCCAGGCGAGGCGGGGCGCACAGGAGGGCTGTGGATTTGGAGACTCAGGGTGAATGCAAGTGGGAGAGGCTGTGTTCCTTTTCCCCTGTGCCTCACAAAGTCTTTCAGTAACGCAGACAGATACTAAGGGAATTCTCACTCATCCCCACTGACTACTCAGGATCAGTCATGGCATCCCTAAAGCTGGCTGAACTCGCAATGCTGTGCTACCTGCACTGAAGCGCTTCCATCACAACTGCCCCAGGAGTCCGTGCAACAATCTTCTAATGTCAGAAATTGTTGCCTGTCACTTAGGTTAGAAAGCACAACCCTAATTCAGAAGGGGCAGAGATAAAATAGAGATCTAGACACCGATAGTCAAGTGCCAAGACCCTTGATATGAACGCCCTCTTTAGAAGAGGGTAGCAGTGCCTGAAAAATCTGTCTAGCAACCGCAAGTAAAGGCCAACATTCATTTTACCACTAAATTATTGTTCCTGATATACTCAATATGCTGCAAGAGTAATTAATAGTATTGACTGACGTACCTAGTAGCCAATGTGCCCAGAGAGGACCCCGAATTGAGGTGTTGCAGCTGCTAGCCTCCTTATAGGTAGGACATTGACTGACACACTTAATCTGCTAATTTACCCCCTGTAATTGTAAATTGCAGTACTGTACACAAATACATCACAATATGTTCGCTGAGTCATTTTAAAGAAATGATGCAGATATGTAATAGAACTTTAGACAGATACGTAGAAGGCGAATCAAGCAAAGTACACATATGTATATCCAAGTAGACATATATACGTATAATCTCATGGCACACATCTGCTAACAACAAATTCTCTCCATTTTCATGAATTTAAAATGTTCATTTTATCTTCATTTTTAAAAGGTATTTTCTCTGGATGTAGAATTCTGGCTTAATAGATTTAAAAAAAAAATTTCCCTTTATCTTTTGGCCTTTCAAAAAAGCTTTATTGGGGCCAGGGATTTAGCTCAGTGGTTTCTCCGCCTGCTACGCAAGTGCAAAGACCCAAGTTTGATCCCCAGTACCAGAAAAAAAGAAAACAAAAGAAAAAAAGCTTTATTATCTTCTAACCTGTTCTTTTTTTTTGTACTGGGGATTGAACTCGGGACCTTGAGCTTGCAAGGCAGGTGGCAAAGCCACTGAACTAAATCCCCAGCCCCTAACCTGTTCTAATGTAAATTAATGTTTCATTCATATAGATATTATCTTGTTAGTAACTGTTTCATCTCTCAGGATTTTACCTTAATCTTGGCTTTTCAGCAGTTGTTCATATAGTGTGCCTTAGGGACAGTGGGGGAGATTATATCTTTATTTCTTAAATACTGATATTCATAAACTCATGCATTTATGTTTTTCTAACTTTTGGTCATTTCTCCTTTAAATAACATTTCTGACTTCATCCTCTTTTCTTCAAGAATTTATGCATACACATATTTATATACATATATCACATATATATACTTATACACATACATATATATATATATGTTAATTCTCTAGGCCTTGTCTCATAGATCACTAAAACTCAGTTCATTTCTGCTTAAACTTCTGTCTCTGCTTTTCAGGTTTATTGATTTATTTTCAGATATACTAATTTTCTTTTCTGGCCTTTCCATTATGCTATTAGATGCATCCCATTAATGTTCCATGCCAATAGTATAGAACTTTGAGTTCTGGAACTTTCCTTTTTCATAGCATCTATTTCTACACTGAGTGTCCTCCCACATTTTCATTCACTGTGATAATATTTTCCTTTACATCTTCCAACACATTTTTAACAATGTTTCAAAGTCCTTACATGCTGATTCTAACTTCTGGGTCCTCTTAAGGTTGGTTTGGCCTGACTGATTTTTACTTGACTAAGGGTTTTTGTTTCTGTTTCTTTGTATGCATAATAATTTTACAGTATACCAGACATTATAGATCACATGTTCTCAAGATCCTATTATACGATCTTTTGAAGAGGGTTGATTTTTGTTCTTGAAAGTAGTTTACCTGGCTGGACTGAATCTTACAGCTCCCTCGCCATGGAGAGCTTTTCAGCCTCTCTCTGTTCCTGCTCCTGCTCCTACAGCTCCAACATCATACCATAAATTTGGGAGATAATTTATACCCAGGTTTCAGGGAGCCTACTTTGGTTTCTAGATATCTCCCCTCATCTTTCAGCTGAACTAACACTTTCAGTCTTTGGTTTGTGATGTTCAAGTAGTAAGTTGTTGACTTCTACTTGAGTTCTAGCCATTTCTCTCCACATGAAGTAGAAAAACTCTCAGGTCTGTACTTAACTGATCTCTAGTTCCTGCAAACAGCTGTGAAAAGGGATTTTTTAAAGCTTAGCTTAATCACCATCTGTGAAGAATTACTTCAATAGAAGATGCACTATCATTAGAATTGAAACATGTTGTGTAACTCAGCTCAATGTGCATGATGCTGAATATGTCATTTCATAATTATCCAAGTATTAAATATGAATGAAATATCAAGTCATATTAGAATATGTGAATATGATTAAGCCATTCAAATATTAAAGTGGTATTTGCATATGATGAAGTCACTCAGATGTGATTGAAATAATATCTCATATTTATCTAAATATAAAATATATTTTGAGAAAAAATTTATATATATCTTAAGGGGAACTTTGTCCATAAAATAAAATAATAAAGGCAGCAAGAGATTTATTCCCAAAACACCATTGGAGGTTTGATGTAACTTTACACAAGGGTATGAAGAGCTGCAAATCACTATAGGCAAGGAACATACTTTATGTCCTGTGGGCCGGGTGGAAGTGCAGCCTTCAACAGCACGGGCCCGAGGGAACAGAGCAGTTTCCATGAGGACAGAGCCAGTGCTCACGAGTTCCCCAGGTCTAACCGTCATCTCCATGTTACTTGCCAAGCTGAGCGAGGCGCCGGGAAAGGGTGTTACCAGCACAGATGGGCTTCTGAGGCCCCGGAGGAGGATGCTCCTTGGTCGGACTCTCCTCGCCTCATTCCCTCTCTCACCTCTCCTGTCTCCCTCTCCCTTTCTCCAAGCAGCTTGGAAAAAGCCCTTTCCTAGGTGCTCACAGGAAGTCTAGCGAGCAGCAGCGTAAACAGAGAAGAGCAGGCAGTGATTTGGCATAATCTGGTCAGTGCAATTTCAGAGTCCTTCTCCTGAAAGGCGAACAGCGCTAGCATGCTGTCACTAATGCTGCAGAAAGGAAGTGACCAGAGGGCTGGGGTGGAAACCGGAAGAGGGAGCCGGAAGAAGGGCTGTCGCCTGGCGCTGCAAGCCTTGGAGTGTCGCTGGACCTCGCCTTGGGAGAGCCTGCATGCTGCCTGGGTCCTCAGAATGAAGGACGGCAGCCAGCGCCCTCTGGGGTCAGCTGCTTTAGTCTCGTTCTTCATTTTGTCATTCTTAACTTCTACTGATATATAACGTAAACCAAGAAGTACACAGATGTAAATGTGCTGCGGTCTCACTGTTACAAATCGGATGCCATAGCAACTAGCATGCAGACCTAACCATTTCTTTTCTACTTTTGTTTTATTTCCATCTTTTTTCTCCTAAAGTATAAAATCTTACTTGTTTGCTTTTTCCTCTTATACCTTTCTAGTTTACTCTTCTTTTTCAAGATTTTTTTTTCTGTTTCAAAGTCTTTCCTGAGTTCTGTCCTGCTATCTTTGTTTTTCTAACTCTGAGCCATGTTGTTCTTTTACCTTGATATCATTTCCTTAGCTTATTTCAGCTTCTGCTGAAGTACTGCATTACAGTCTGTGCACATTCATTTTCTGAACAGTCTTGGGATAACCTTTTACTTTCTGTGGCAATGTTATTATGCAAGTTATTCTTTTCTTGTAACATTATATTGATTCATCTACGGTATTTTTGTATTTGTCATTTTTACCTACCATTAGTTTCCCTAAACTTTTAGCAGGGAAATGTAGGTCAGAACAGACGTCAAACTTCACATTCCAGAGCTCAGACTTGCTATGTTGTGAGGTGTTCAGTAAGAAGCAGTAAGATGCCTTTTTTGGGGGTACTGGGGATCCAACTTGGGTCCTTGCACTTGCAAGGCAGGCAGCAGAACCACTGAGCTAAATCCCTGGCCCTTTGTGAGGTGTTCAAAATCAAGGTCTCATATAAATATTCTCCTGACTGTGACTCCCTCTCTCAAACCTGGATTTTGCTTTTTCCTAACCACCTTCATGCCTTTCTTGGAGAACTTGTATTTATTCCCAGAAGCCCCTACTCAGAAGAGAGGTGGGGCAGTTAGTTCTGGGAGTCCAGGGCTTCCTCCCTCCTGCAGACCCCCACCAACACCCTCAAATTGCATCTGCAAACTTTCCTAAGGGTTTCGGCTTCTATTCCAAAACTGTGTCACCATCAGTGCTCACTTGTTGGAATTTGAGTCTTTGGTTCTCAGACTCAAGGCTACCTGGCTGCTTCCTTGTCCTTCCTGGAGATGCTCCTGCCTCCCAGCTAGGGCAGGGTCCCC